GCAATCAGTGCTGCTCTCTCAGTATGTGCTGAGTGCTCTTGGAGCAGAGATTCTGGCACCTTTCACAAGGTTAAATTCACTTCAGAAACACACAGAAAATTAAAAAGTCAGAGGAGGAGGAGAAAGAAGAAGAATATCAGCACATTTAATTTAAGAATACTCTCTGGCTTTCTCTGTGGTTCTGGCTTCTGGCAAAAACTGGAAGGCAGCCTGCATTACACCTGACAAACTCTGCTCCTCAGCCATTCCTGACAGGGGAACTCACCAGCCAAGTGGAGCAGAGGACTCAGTGTCTGATCTGAGTGACAGCTGTGTGTGCTGCAGCAGGCTCTGAGCACATCTCCTGCTCCAGGAGTGCTCACTCTCCATCACACACACAAATACTGCTGGGATTGCTCTCAGCCAGATTTGGGAGTGATGCTTTCACGTGGCTTCACTTTATTTTTAGCATTTTAAAATAAACCTAGTACATCAAACTTACTGCTGAGGTTACAAAGCAGGTTAATTAATTTGTTCCCTTATCATTGTGTATGTGTCCAAGTTCTTCACTTTGGGAAGGAAGAGAGATTCCACCTTAGAAGGGGTGGAGGAGGATCTACAGTATTAAAAAAAAAAAAAAAGAGCAAACTTCTTACCACCAAATAATAATTACAGAATGGTTTGGGTTGAAAGGAACCTTAAGGATCATCTAGTTCCAAACCCCCTGCTTAAGGCTGCTAACAAGTATAAAATCATGGTCTTTCCTCAGAATCCAAACAAAATAAGTTGTAAAATGCAGCTTTATGTATCTGTGGGGGTTTTTTTCATTCCTATTTAAAAGACTGTGGTGATCTCTTGCCTTCAGTTTTAATACCCATTCAGAAAGGAGGGAGAAAAAGTTTCAAGCAGTCAGGAGAGGAGGTTAGGACTTGAGAACACCATGATTCCCCCTGTAACCTCCTGGCCAGGACATTTTCCTAATAGGCTTTTAAAGGTTGCTGCATGTCCAGCAATTTGATATGATCTTCCTGCAGTGTAGAGTGGAGAATGTCACATGAGAAAGGTGAGCCAAATATAGTGACCTGCAGTGAAAGTGCCCCCACTGTGCCCTGCTCTCTTTGGTGCCCTCAGATCCTACACAGAACGCACCCATCCACACAGTGGTAATTGCATCTTCTCTCAAAATGATCAATACCAGATTAGCCATGATGTCACTAACAAGAGAACAAGGAGATAATTGTCCTCATTGGAATGTTAACTCCATGGTAATAAAGCAATTTGATATAAAACAACATAGGTCAAACACATCCTCTGAGCACTGCAGAACCAAGAGGTTGGGGCAGGAGTGAGCCCAGCACAGCTCAGAGCAGAAACCCAGCAAAGGAGCAGCTGAGTGGGCAAATGCCACAGCTGATGTGAAAAACTGCCCTTTCAAAGTCACTGACACTGCTGCAGTATCTTTTGGTCTAGTGAGTCCCTAGCAGGTATTTGCACTCATGAACAAAACCATTTCTCACTGCTGCAAACAAAATAGCAAGGAAGGGATGCCCAGAGAAAACAGAGACAGCCAACAGCTCACGGTGTGCTGGGGAAAGGGGACCAGAGAGAAAAGCCAAGGCTGTTCTCTCACCAGACCTGGCTGAGACCCCAAGTCACCATCAGCAAAACTGGACTCAGATGATTTCATTGCTCTGGTTTATTTAAAAAATCTTGCAGTGAATTCAGCCTTTCAAGTGAAGCAGAGTTGAGTGTCCATGGGAATGGAGCCCCAGCTCAGAGCTCCACAGAGACACTGCAGGTGTGACAGGGGACACCCAGCTGTGCT